GGGGAGGCGGATTCTATAACCATTCGACGTAAAGAAAACTTCTTTTATTTTTTACTAAAAGATAAGTTTAGGAATCGAATTATAGAAATAGAAAATATATATGATTTATTTTGAAGTAAAATTAATTTAATGAAAATAAACTTGTATTTAACAATTAAATTCTATGGAATATTTATGTACTTGTAAAATAACTCATAATAAACCATTTTAAAATATTTGAGTAATTAATAAATTTTAAAAAAGTACAAAAGAGTGGATAAAAACAATGATATCCCTGCGTTGATGTTGCTCTGGGAATTTCTTTTTATATATATTCGGCTCCATCGATTTCAATGATAGTCGAAGATCGCCCCCCCCCACTTTGCACAATGTCGAGTCTGTTACTATATTATTAATATATTACTATTTTATTTTATTTTATTGATATTTAAAATGAATATTAAATCAATTTATATAATAAATTATAAACTTTATATAATTTCCCTTTATATATATATATATATAGCCGTTTCCATAGTAATTAATCTTGTGAATGAACATGCTTATAAAGATGCGTAAATTTTAAGATTGGTTATTCCTAACTTTCCGCTTGAGGATGAAACGGCCTGATACTTTAACTCAATTTCATTTTGATAATTATATTGAGGTTCGGCTTTCGCTTTTGAAACATGAGAACTATTATGTAGCGAAGGCATCATATTTTTTTTTTTTTTAAATAATTATAATTTAAGCTCTACTTCTGTATGGAGCACTGTTTTTAAAAATAAAACCAAAAAATACTAAAGAACTCCGGATTATTTATACAACATGTTCTTTCCTATTTTTTACATATCTCTCACACACACACACACACACACACACACACACACACACACACATATATATATATATATATATATATATATATATATATATATATATATATATATAATCCTTCCTTTATATATCCTTCTCAGTTTTTATTCATCTTTTACAATCAAATCATCCGGTAGAGTAAAAGGGACGCTAAAACTTACATCGCTTGATCTCGTTTTTTGATAGTTTCAGACATGTTTTTTTTTCTATTTTTAGTATTGTAATATGGCTTAGATTACTGTAGGAATTTCAATTCTCAGTTGTAACAACCATTCCGAAGTGAAATTGCTCTATGGACCAATAAATTATTACCATGGATCGCCAATAATGTTACATAGACTTACGGGCTTCATATGGACCGCAGTTAAGAATCACTGGTTTTTTTTTGTAGATATTCTAAACCCAATTCCCTACGAAAATACAACCACAATGGTTGCTAATTTGTTAATGATTAACATTTTTTGACGCGCAATCTTTGTCTGAAG